TGTAAACATTGCAAACTCTGCCTTCAGTCTTTATTGAGTCATGCAGCGCTATAATGTGGAAGAATTTGAGATTTGTGCGTCCGTGTCAGATTGGAGCTTTGCAGAACATGTAGTGTTTCTGTCCTTGTGCCCTACTCGGGCCCATCCCTCCTCTACTTAGTCCCCTTCTCCCTCTCTCCTCCTCTTTCCTTCTTCTGATTCATTAGCAGCCCTCCTGCCCTCTTTTACTGCCTCCATTAAATCCTTGCTCTCTGTATTGCAACTCTCCATGGATAGTGTCCGTTTATCATTCGGGCAAAGAGCTCCAGTCATGTACTCCACATTTCTCATCCTATACTCCCTCTATCTTTATATGGCCCAGCCAAGCTCAGCTCTTTGTCACTCTCAAGCACATTAATGAAATGTAAATTCACTTCATATATTGCTTATGAACTGCTGATTAACAGTAGAAGAAATCAAGCATGTCTGAAGCTCTTATAACAAGTGCATCTTTCTTTTTACCTGCTGTGGAGAAATAATGAACTGAAAATGTAAAAGTATACACTGTTATACTGAAGTAAATAATGAAGGGGAGCTAAAGGTAGTGTACAACAAACATTAATTATGGAGTAAATGTGCATAATTATCCAGTTAATTTGAACTTAATGTCTCAAAGTTTCCAAAGATATCAAAACATGTCAGTCTGAATTTTGCAAAAAATATGCAAAACACATGTTTAAAATATTTCTACTACTATCAAAAGTGCATATGCAAAAAATAATGACAATAACTTTAAGTATTTAACCTTGTTAAAGCTCCTATGAGGATTTCATAGCTGGTAATGAAACAGACTGAAATTATTATTGATGATTCTTTAGGACCTGCAAAAGCAAACAGGCTCATCAGGAATGAGACTGACTATTTCTTTCATTATTTTTATTGCCTGTTTCTGCTGCTATCGGCTACTACCTTCATGTCAACAAGGTGATTGACAGCACAATCGCAACCTTTGTTCACATTTTACACTGCAAAAAAAAATCTAAATGACTGATATGTTTGATTGTTAAAGGACAGAAGGAGGAGAGTTTTCTGAAGAGGAAACAACCTACACATGTACAGGACGAGATCAGCAAGAGATTAGAGGTATTGTTTTTTTCCACAGTGGGCACAAATAAAGCAATTTAAGTGCCACACAGTACCTTTAAATATGGCTTCACTAAAAACCAATAATAAAAACCTTTATACTTTAAACTGAAATGGAAAAATACTATACAGATTAAGAGCCACTTCACTACAGCACAGTGCTTGACTAATGCTTATGTTGATGTTTATAGATCCGCAACAACCTTGCACCGTTTAGGTTGTAACCTCACGTAACCTGTCCAATCACACAGGATTTGAATTCATCTGTGGGGGTAAATAGTAAATACCCAGAAGAGCTCATGCCGCTGTGAGATGTGAACTGGAGTGCAGAGGCTCCACGGAGGCCTGAACCCTCCTCTGAGTCGGATACCAAGATCCACACATGGGACCCTGGATTATCTGCTTATCTCTGCCTCCATGATTGCTGACAGTTTCCGAGGCACGACTTTAAATGGACAATAGGCATGTCCAAAGAGGTTAATGGAAAATTCTGCAGTCCGCTCTTGGTTTTAATTGGATAGGTCACACTGCAGTGTCCAAGGTGAGGTGAAGGGGAGTTTGGCCCAAGCTGATTATTTTTTTGTCAGACTGGGAAAATTGTTCTATTTCTTATTGCTGAATCCAGATAAGTCATGAGACTATAATGCTTTACTTGATCTGTCTGCGTGTAGCACTTTACATTAAGATAATAAGTGGGTTAATATGCTTTCCATCCAGGGGCCGCCCCATGTTAGAATATATTCATTTGAAGGTTAATGGAGAATGATTGAAATTATTCTCAAGTGGGGAATTTCCTGATGGCATACAAAAAACAGGAAATACGACTTTCATTCTTAGTACGCATTTTTACTGACAAATTCAGTTATGCATTGCTTGGACTCATGAATGTGAATGTAGAAGGTTTTCTAAAAGTGAAACATGAAAGATTTATTTGTTGCCCGGCGAACTGTCAGAGTAATAAATGATTATGGACATAAACAATAACAATGTCCTTTCAGCTTTAACTGTAATAAACCTGGATGAGAAAAAGAAGAAGGATCTTTCTATAAACAAAGTGGGTTTCCAGACAGCTGCTTTTAATGGCTGAGTGAAAGTGAGCTGACTGTGCTGTAAGCGACTCTGTGGTGAGATGTACCATGTAAGGACTCTGAACAGAACATTTCATATGAGCTAACGGCTGAAATAGTAAAAATATGTTCCAGGGGCAGTATACCAACACGTCAAATCAGAACCCAATTCATCTTCTCCATCTCCTTACCACATGACCCATGTACAAAAACCAATGTGTTATTATGTTACAGCTCATTCACACTTACTAATAGGCAATTTAGGGAGATTTTACTGACGTAAGGCGTGATGCAAATAAATAACGCGGAAGTAGCGGCTGAAGCAACAGAGTCCGCTACACGACGTTATAATGAGAATATTTGCCTTTATATCAATGCTATGTGTAATCCAATGGAATGACAACATCCACAAAAGAGAGGAGAACAACATACTGACGAACAGAAAACATAATGCAGACGTTTAGTTACGTGCACGGAGATCGTAGAGGTCACGTGCAGACACTTTAGGCAGTGACTGTAAATGTCACTCGAGTCCCATTGGCTCGAATTGAAATATCCGGAGTATATGCTACCGCGTTCAGACATTAGCTTACTCGGATTTTCTGTGGATAAAATACTAGGGGTCTGGCCAGAGAAACTCCGGGTAAAGTCTGCGCGAAAAATGTGGCTGTTTGCGTTCACACATAGCCTAAAGCACCTCTGGGTAGCCAAATCTCCAGAGTTTTTCAGGAGATTTCCGTATGTGTGAAAAGGGTTTAAATAAAGGTATAAAATACCCTCCCAAAAAAAACACTATCTCATCATTATAAAATATAATGTTGGTGTTTAATTTTCTTAATGTCGATAAGAACTGAATGAATTAAAGGTCAGCTACCAAACTAACAAAATACATGAATCGATATTTGATCAAATGTTGATGATAACGCTCCACCGCGTTGCACTTGGATAAGACAAATTATAATAAGAAAAGCTGATAAGCTTTTGAGTTAGCTTCAGTAGACTCATACACACACACAACACACACACTTTACCCTGAACACATTAATCACTGCATTGACCTTTTCCTCTGTGTGAGGTACAGGGACAAATGCCTCTATGGACCCTGAGGCTTAACAGGTTCATACTCCATACCTGAAAACAAATGTCAGAATTTCCAGGAAAGATTCATGTTCTGTCTTCAGGAACTTGAAGTATGCTGTACCAGAACGGTACATATGGATTAGTGTAAAGCTAGCATTGTTTGCAGAAGTAGTTTCTCACTTCCTGACAACACTAAGCTTTGAAACATCACAGTCTCTATTCAAACCATTTATTTCATACCAACAACAAAGGGCGGGCAGCGATGACATATTAAATCTGCAAGAGACTAAAAATCTATTGATTTGTTTCTTAAACTTACCACAGTGTTTCTGACAGAAACTCGATTGCTCAGTGACACCTTTTATCCTTGTGGTTTCACGCTCCACTACATCCAATCAGCTTGGATTAAGACTTTATTTGACCAGCAGTAGAAGTATCGTAGCAAGCAAGTTCACCTCAGCCGTAATGTAATGAAGGTTGTTGTTCATTCAAAGGGAAAAAATGCCTACAGGGGGAAGTTTGAAGAACAACTCTCACTATTTCTGCCAACACATCCACCTTGACCTTTACAGGTAATTGGCTTTTTTTTCCTATACATTAAAAACCACCTGACCAATGTCATGTATGTCATGTATAATGGCCACTATATGATCTATATCAATCCTGTTGCTTTTGGAAGAGGTTATTGTTTCTGAAACCCTGTCTTCTGAGTAACACCTGCAGCAATATATTGCTATCTATAAATATCCTTCAGTAGCCTATACAAACAGAAGCTATATTCCTGTTAAAATCCTCACCCCAGTCCCTCAACAAATAAAACAGACAACTCTCATCAATATGACAGCAAGCAATTTAGAGAACGCAGCAGTGTAAAAACTATTCATGTATGTTGTAATTCGGCTTGTTCATCAGTTTTATCCTGCATTTTCCCTCTCATTTACCATTTCTCCCCTGCCTCTTATAGGTTTCACCAACAGGGAATGGAACAGAGGACCGCGCTGATCGGTTAAAGCTAGATAGTTTATAGCTTCCCTTGTGCCATTTGGTGATGGTTTGACTCTCTGAGGTGTTAACACTGTGTGGTCCATAGTTTGCTTATTCTAATTTGACTATTGCTAACACAATATTAAACAGGAATGTACCCAATATCAGTTTATATACTTCAGAGGTATCTGACACAAATTTTATTGGAAATGTTGTGATTTAGGTGAAAAATCTATCTTTAATTCAGTCTTTGCCATCATTTAAAATGAGTTCTGTGACACAAACTAAACTGTAGCATCTAAAATGTCCTTTTTTTTTTTAAACACCAGTCAGATGAGAGACACTAGCTTTGGCAATTTATGGTAATAATAAAACATCCTGACACAAGGTCAATAAGTGGATGCCTTCTTGCTGGCAGCAAGTGACAAAATATTGATATCAAAATCCTTCAATGGAACCCAGGCCTGAACCCGTAAGGCTCAGAGTAATTTTCAGGAACATAAAACTATCATTATCTGTTGCCGACGGTGCTGGATCATCTGCAACTCGTGGAAAGACTGCGGTCAGCTGTTCACAAATGAATCGAATAAAGATGAGATCTGATGACGATTGAAGTTTTTAACCAATTATAACTCACAAATTGTAAAAAAAAAAAACAAACATGTGTGAAGGCATTTATTAAATTATGTTTTTATTCTTTTGAGGTTGTTGAGATGTACTCATTATAACAGCATCAGTCAAAGTGTCAGAACAACAGCTCTTATGATCATCATAAGCATCCAGTATTATTTCATGGCACATATAGATCATTCTTACACTTTTGTTTTCCGCTCATAATCCAGTTCATCCTCACTTCCTTCTTATTTTTTTTTCTCTTTAGCCCTTAAAGAATGAAAAAACTCTTGACCTCTTGTTAGCAATTAAACCAGTGAGTGATTTTTTCCTGTTCTAGGTGACCTAAGTTGATTAACGTCCTGAAGAAGTATGCAGTATTTTTGGGACAGGCATTAGGCCAAGTTGACCTTGACCTTTGAGATGCACTTTGTCTTCTGCAAACCCTGACGTATCGATGCATGATTTGCATTTTTATACATAATCGATTGCACTATTTAATGAAAATCATTGCATGTCGGTACCAATACTGTGTGTTTGTCATTACAATAAATGGCAGCTGACAAAGGCAAAAAAAATAAAGTGTGGACTAAGCACTATGCTAATATATCCTGAGTGTTTCAAATCTTACACAAGAAGCCAAGTAATCGAAACTCATTTAGAACAATTAGCTAATTATCAGGGAGTAATGGTCTTATCTGTTAACATTAGGGAGAAATTCAAGCAGTCGACAACCTAAACTCTAAATCCAATCTGAGACAATAAAATAGTTCAAGTAACATTTTGGAGGGTTTATTGTGATCGTAGGACGTTTCTGGTCAACTGCTTTTGCTCAACACCTTGGAGTCCCCTGCAGAGAAAAGATCTTTTACATCTCTTGCTCTAGTATAGAACAGCAGCTAATCCAAGCGTACACTATAACAGCTGACAGGAAATCAATACTTTCAGGAACAGACAAGAGTGAGGAAAGTTACTGCCACAATTTCCCTGCATTTCACCACTGCTGAAAACCATGATATTGATTTCTAGTTAGAAATTTTAAAGTCACATCAGGCAGGAAAGTGTTGAATTTCAGCATTTCCACGACACCAGGCAACAAATAAAAGGGACGAACCTCAACTGGATGTTTCTTTGAATGAGTTACCTACTGTATGCCTTGTCACAAATGGGAGGCATGTTTCTTCTGATTCACTGAGTTTTATTTCATGTCCACATGAATTACCCCACAGGAGTCACCCAGCATGCCCAAACAACTGCCTGAACGACAAATGTCAAAACAATAACCTGGCAAACCAGGGATTTCAAAAAGTGTTCTGAGACAGTCTGTTGCCTCTCTTCATCGGCGTCAATAAAAACTGCATAGTCCGACAGAAGAATCGCATCCATTTTTTGTTCATGCAGACTGTGTAAAATCAGCCAGCTCAGAGACATATAATGCAATATTTCAGCATCAAACATTGTTGTTATCATTGAAGACTTCTGTGTCTGTCGAACTGTCGGTCTGAACTTTCAGCAGGCAGACGAATCAATACAGGGCATCACTTTGAGAAACATTAACATTATGGCCTCCTACATGCATCATCGCTGTTTTGTCAAGCAGAAAATGGGCTTTTGAAACCTCTGAGCGAGGTTCAGATAATTCCCTTAAGATTTCCTGGTTTTAGCGATATGGGGTATGTTTTTTGCAAGCTATTCCCAAATAGATAATAATAAAAAAAAGGTTCATGGCCATGATTTCTCCGTCAAATTGCAGGAGGAAGACAGTACAGGGAGGCAGGGTCAGTGATGGAGCACTCTGCCCTGAGAGGCACCAAGTGACTTGCAGTCATAAAGGAGAAACTCATTTTGCCGCCCCATTTTCACAAGTGTCATTATCATATAGTTCTACGTCCTGGAGACTGGAGGCATCTGTGTCGTCTCCCGCGCTGCTCTCACTGTTCCTGAAGGCGATTCCTCCAATGAAGGGGTACACGCTTTCTGTGAACAGTTCTCTGATGTTGTAATGAGGGAGTTCAGGGTCTTTTCTCTCAGGTTTAGTGATACACTTTTCCTCCATGGCTTTATTTCTTTGATAATATTTTGAGAACTTATTGAAAATGATAGAAATGGGTAGAGCTACGACTAATAGTCCACAGACAATGCACAAAGTGGCCACAATCTTCCCCGCTAGTGTCACCGGGCATGTGTCGCCATAGCCGACTGTGGTCATGGTTATTGTCGCCCACCACCAGCCTGAAGGGATGGTCCCCAAATCTGTGCTTTCCTCTTCCTTCTCAGCAAAGTAGATCAGGGCAGAAAAGATTGAAATCCCCACCGAGAGGAAGAGCAGGAGCAGACCCACCTCGTTGTAGCTGTGGCGGACTGTTGCGCCCAACGCTCGCAGTCCAATGGAGTGGCGAGCCAGTTTGAGGATTCGAAGAACCCTCATGAGGCGCAGAACCTGTACCACCTTCCCCACATTTTCCAAGTCCTCGTTCTCCTCAGCGGCCTCCTCGTCGGCTGTTTCTAGAGCTAAAGTGGCGTAATATGGCAAAATGGAAGCCACGTCAATGATGTTTAAGGGGTTTCCAAGGAACTTTCTCCGAGAGGGAGCGACAATTAGCCTGATGATGAACTCTGCAGAGAAACAAGCGATACAGATTTCCTCAAGGATGGCAAGGACCGGATCCTCGATGGGTCTATCATTTTCATCCAAGCGTTGGAACTCAGGCATGCTGTGGACGCACATAGCAATGATGGAGGTCAACACCACACTGAGGGAGGCCACAGCAATGATCTTTGAGGATGTGGAGTGGCCTGGATCCTCCAGCCGAAGCCAAATGTAGCTCCTCACTTCAGCACACCAGGCACCTTTGAACTTAGCCAGGTCTTTATCAAGAGCGGAGAGCTCCTCGAAGGAAGAGCCTAAGCTGGGCGGCTGCTGGTCGTCACTTTGGATTTCCCAGTCTTTGTCCTCGATGTACTCTTTCCTCTCGTGGTACCAGTTGTTACAGCAGGAGCTCAAGTGCAGCTCATGGATACCCCAGTACTCGATCTCCTGGCTGAAGGAGAAGACGCACAGCTCCTCCATCATGTGGATTTGGCCGGTGTAGTAGAAGTTGAGCACGCAGAGGAAAACTCGTGGATTCCGGTCAAAGTAGTACTCCTTCTCTGCCGGGCTGTAGTCGTCACACAGCTCGAGGATCGCCGCCTCGCTTCGACAGCACAGCAGACGAGCCAGGCGTGTGTGAGGGAAGCGGAGCAGCATGTCTGGGTCCACTTCATGTCGTACCCCTCCCACATTTAGGTGGACCTGGTCTTCCTCATTGCCCTGCCGGTGGAGGAATTGCCCATACCCCATGGTCCTAATGATACAGAGATATCACAACTACAAATGAGGGCTGACATTTTTAGTGACTTTATGACAAAAAGAAAAATGCATCACACGTTTTCATCGAGAACTATAATTAGTATATATTAATTCAGAGAGATAAAGACACATTTGACTGCATTGTTTGTAGAACACATTCGTCCTCTGAAGGAAGAAAAAAATCAATAAAGCACACACAGGAAATGGCTTAAGCTGGAGTGACTGAAGAAGCGTGAGATACTGTCACTTCTTTGAGGGCTCCAGTGCCGGATTATTAGCAGAGGAATCAAATTACAGAGAGGACTAGACAAACACCAAAGGAAATCAAAGGCAACAAGTTGAAACTGAACCCTTACATCATTTCAAGCAAGCATTAGAAATTGTTCTCCAACATGTGCAGATTTCTGTTTTGTTTTCGTGGGTCTAGTTGTTAACCACGCTCCTAGAAATACAACACAATGTGCTGCTTTGCAAGCACATTTGCTGACTTTTGCATGATTGTATTTGATTACTTTTTAAACCAAACCTCATTTAAAAAAAATAAGTCATTTACTTTTAAGTTGTGTCAATTACTAAAGTTAACACTTACCTGTACTTGGAGCCTTTCTTCCCATTAAACTAACTTTTATCCGGCTGGTTTCGTTCTAACATTGTGAGTAAACCTCTCACACAGAGCAGGTCGATGGAGGGAGGGAGAGCAGAGCTGCAGCTTCACGGACGGGACAAGAGGAGCTAGAGGAGGGACCGCGAAGCTCCAGCAGTTTGTTTCCTTTTACAGGGAAAAGGGAGGGGCGAGAGAGGAGAGTGGAGAGAGGAGGGGGGGGACTGTTGGAAAACCATGCGAGGATTTACCGTTATATTATAATGAAGTCCTTTTATTATGGTAATATACTCAGAGGACGCTATATTTCTTTTGTTTAACTTAAGTTCCTCGAACTATTTAAAGGTACTTTCCTCAAGTATAGGTTTAGAAGAGCACCTGCAATAATTTAATGCCTTTTAAATATTTAAAGCGAAATTGCACCGGGTTTGTATATATGTTAAAGTGGTGCAACTGAAGGCAGCGAACCACAGCTCGTCGGCACGCTGGAGGGAAGTAAGTAAAATCACACTCTGACATTTCAATCTGCGAGAGAGAGAGAGAGAGAGAGAGAGAGAGAGAGCACTGCTGGAAGGCTGAGTGCCAAACGAGGCAGTAACACTGCATTTGGCAGAGGGGAAGTACAACATACCTTTATAGTTAAACAAAAAAAAAAGAAGGCTGTCATAGGTCATTTTGTTTCATCCATTATTTTATTTTCCCCCAAAAAATCATTTTCAGAATCTCCCAGATGTGTGGCTTAAAACTAATTTCTCTACCCTGTGCAGAGGATCTGTATTCCAACCCTATAATGTAGGCTACGTGTCATTTTTGTGGCGAGGTAAACACCCCTTGATGCATCCTTTCTGCACAGGATTTGCAATAAGTTCTGTACTGTTTTGCACCTCAGCCATGCAGGGCTTACAGACAAAGTTAACAAATGAACCAGGGCAGGACCTTCAACTGCACAGCTTGTTGACTTGTTTTTGTAATTTTGTGAATTGCAAATTTGTTAAAATGTCTTAAATTTGCACTTACTGAATAAACTACAGGCTGGTCCGGACTCTTGCTCTTGTGTCATTGTAAAGCTTTGTGAAAACATTTTGATGTTAAAGCTCTCGACTGGAAAATACTGCAATAACAGCGTCTTGCATCTGAACCGGCTCAAAGACGAAGACGTAACATCTTCATGCAGAGGTGAAGGAGATGTCACAGTTGATGACAGGGCAGGAGGGTCATTTTTATTGACAGGCATTTATTTTGTTTCATGCTCTAAACGTTCCGTTTACTCAGAGATATACGTTTCTGTTGTTTAGCTTTGACATTTATTACATTATCAATTTTGTTTTTCAGTTTTTACTGTTTTAGGCTTGTGAGCATAGGATTGCAAGGAACAAAACACCATTTGAAAATGATTGATTCTTATTTAAAACATGTTTTATTCCACAACATACTTCAAGAGTTTATCATCTATCAGAATGTTTCATGTGTCTGGATTCAGGCCACATTAAAAGACACAAGTCTGCACAATTATCCTCATCAGGCTGTAATGTGATCCACCTGTGAGTGGGTGTATTTGTGAAGAAGGAATTCCCTCAACCTGCCCAAAGGGTAGGCCTAAAGAGTTGATTCCCTCTTCTAACCGCAAATAAAACTGAAAAAGCAAGGGACTCTGAGGCTGCAGTATCACACCTTATGCGCCATGGGTCGATTTATCGGATTTGGGTTTGTAGTTTAGATTTTATCTGTTGCTTTCACTGAAATTGTTTTATGTTATCTCGAAGCTGATTCAGTCTCTTTCAGGTGGTTTGTTCTCGTGATTGCAGTTGTATTTGTAGCTGCTCAAAAGAAGCTGCCTAGAAGTATGTTTTTGACCATTTGATAACAGAATTGCATGAATCGTTTTCTACCTCCAAATTAATATAAACATTTAATCCCAGATATCCGCATACAATGCCTGGGAAATGTCATGCGTGTGGATGTCGGTCCACTTGGAGGAAAAATTCTTGAAGTTGCTGCTGTGATGAGTAAGCTAACACTTCTAAATTCAATGTTTCTTTGTGTTTGTCTCACTTTTCCATTTTCTTTAACTGTCCTCTTTTTGTTTCTCAGATAACGCCACCATCTTTCTTACACCAAGTATGGCCTCACAGTGTGGCTTCAGTATGACAGTATGCCAGTTTGGCAATGCCAGGATCTATGCCTCCCTTCAGAACTGTTTTGTCCAAAGTGAGGTAACAAAAGCTAGATTTTTAATTTTATTTTAATAGTGTTGCAAATAGAGATTTTTAATGTGGGAATTCTGAGTCTTACTTACTTGTGTTTGTAGGACGATACAGCTTTCACAACAACATTAAAACTTCACCTACACGGGAACCGGATGGGTGAAGATGAGGTGTACCAGGTGTCTGAAACCTGCCTCTACACTACCTGGGCCTCCAGGGAAATTGTCTGTGAACGCAACTATATGGAGGCAAGTGAAGGCAGCAGGAACCTCAGGGGTCATGTTCCAGTCTATATGATAAGTTGTTGTATGTCCCTTTTGAGCATCAAGGCTGCATTTGATGTCACTGCAGAGGGGATGGCGGGAGATTGATTATCACTTATGATGCGACCTCATTTCTAGGTGTCCATGAAAAGGGCAGCTCCAGATGATTATGTCCTGCCTAAACATCCTGCCAAAGGGGCCAATTCAAGGTTTGGTGATCCTCGACGAGATGCTGAGGTTTGATGAGCTAATCTTCAAGCCTTTTTATATTTTTGAACCCCCTTTTATTTTCAGTATTTGATGGCATGCTTTACTTTCCATCTAGAAACACCCTGAGGCAGGATCCAGAATGAACACGCTCATCATCACCACTCCTGCTCCAAGGCTGCTCCTGAGAAGTCCGAAGACTTCCCCTGAAACATACACCCAGATTGTAAGTGCACTGCGGTCACTAAATTTCCAAGTTCCTCTCAGGCAGACTCTGTGGGTGAATTACTTGCAGTCCATTAGATAACTCACTACTTGCTTACATCTGCAGCCAGTAAACTATTGGATTTAAATCCATCAATGGAGTCAAACTGCCTTTTTAGATTGCTTACTTTGTCTGAAATCCAGTTGGAAGCGTTGCATATATTGGGAGCCAACCCTGTTATTATATTTACATCCTACATTTTGTCAAATTACAAATATCCTGAGGTATTTCATGTTCTCTTGTTCCCACAGTATGCCCCAAACTCACCCATGAAAGCATTTAATGGACCTAACAAACACTTGCACTCAATTTTATGTGACTTTTACCACACAGGTCGCAGGAGTGCCCATGACTGTTGTCAAAACATCAACTTTATTTGAAAAGAAGTGGCTGGCGACTGAAATCGACGCAGCAGCTGCTTGTCCAATACTGGAGGGTAATGAGCATGTTAGCAAAACAGGAGGCAGGGCTGTAAGCTAACACTGAAGATGCTGTTTGGTGTTTGCTGTCAGTAATATACTTGTTTTGATAGGCTGCACCAAATATCTTTTGAACTGGAAATGTTCATATTTGACTCCAATGAGTCAGCTTTATTTAACATGATACACCTTGTATCAGTTAATTTCAAATGGCAGAAAACAATTGTAAGTCTAACATGGTTAAAAAAAAAAAAAAAGCCACTTTTTTAGCTGAGAAGACTGTACCTCATGTCTTTTCAGTAACTATGAAAGTGGAGCAAGCAGGAAGTTAATTTAGCTAATAGCAGAAAACTGCTAGCCTGGCACCAGCCCAGATAAACCACAAATTGTCATTTATACTTCTACTAGCATATGCAGTTTTTTCTAATGTCAACAGTTTCTTTTTAATCACTGTGCATATTTATTTTACAGTGCGTAGTTTGTTGCTCACTGCTGTCAACATTTTGGGATTGGCTAAACTTTTTTATTTTATTTTTTTTTATTCAACAAGTTTGAAGGTCATATAGATCTATTCGTCTACCTGTAAACAAGAACGCAAAGCATGTTTCCTTTGTTTATAGGAAGTGTGTTCTTCACCTCAAACTCAATCAGCTGGTTCCTGCCGAGGCACATAGACCCTTTGATTTCCTCGGGTCAGTTCCAACTGTTGGAAGTCCACATTGGTGTCGATGGTCAGAAACTGGACGCTGCTGAGATGGCTGCCAGACAATACTCTCTGACAGTCAATGATAAGCACATCATTGTTGAAATCCCAATTGGGGCTGTTGGCGGTTACTTTAAGGTTGGTGGCACCAAATAATAGCTGTAGGTATTAACTTAATATGAAGGTTATAAACTAATTAAATTGTCTTTACAGGCTCAATAGACTTCAAGATGAAAAATGTTTGAAAACACATCTTATGTCTGAATCAATGCAACTATAGCCAACATTTAAGAGGAAATTAGCCGTGTGAAACTTAAACTTTGTTTTTTATCAAGCTGAATTGTGAAACTTGCTTGTTTAAATGTGGGTTTGACATGGGATCCTTCAGGTGGGCCTTTTACAAAGGATCTTTAATTTTGCAGAGTCACATTCAGGATGGTCAATACCTCACATCCTACACAATTGAGCCAATGATAGAGATGCTTTGGACTGAAGACTCCACTCACGGGGACACTCATTACAAAGTCCTTCTTCCCATCACAACACCATTACTGTCTCGACCTCCACAAGTCATCGACAGTGAGTCTTATTTTATATATATTTTTTCTGATATTTAAATGCAAGCTGCCTTAATTTCTCTGGTTCTTCTGCCCCACAGACACTATCCCTGAGGAGCGGGTTTTTAAAGTGCTATTCGGGCCCTTCAGCTCTGATGTGGCTCTAATGAACATCACCTTCCCCTCTGAGGTTCTCTCTGAGGCAGACTGCAAAGCCAGAGGCATTAATGTCTTGGAGCAGATGTATCCTGAGAGCAGCTCCAAGGTCTTAACTGTAGAGGTGCCTTTCACAGACCAGGTCGTGCTTCAAATGGTAGGTATCAATCAGTCTAAAACTTGGAAATAAAATAGTATGTCTTCCTCTTCTTTTAATTGAATCTTAAACTCTTTCTATTTCCCACCAGCGTGAAATGGGGATAACTGTCTACACTCTTCACATCACCTTAGGCCTGGTGGTCCTGCCGGAGTTTGCGCCATTTACTCA